CCAGGGTGCTCGCTGCTGCTGCACCTGCAATACTACTGATATAGTGGTAGCTGCTGCCCGTGCATGTTACAGTGCTGCACCAGGTTCTGGCACAGACGGGTCTTCATCAAACAGAGGGCGTCTAATCCGGCCACACATGTTGTATCCTACCCCAGGAGACAGCGGGTCTGACTGTGGCAGGGATACAGGTAGCTTGGGGAAAAGAGAAGGGCAGAGGAGGTAGCAGGTTGTCCTGGAAAAGGAAACCCGCTATTGCGCACATTCAAGCAGAAGGGCGGGGCCATCTGGGCATGAGGGGCGGGTGCTATGAGAGCAGAGAATGAACAGGGTGAGGCTGTGGTGGGTTAGGACCAGGGATGACCTGAGGAGTGTGGAGGGAGGTCTGAAGGGGTTTAGATTAGGGTGGCCTGAGATGGGATGTGGAAGGAATACAGAGAAACCGAATTTGGATGGTGCCTTTACTCAGTCTCCACCAGTGCCCTCAGGGTGCCTTTCCCCAGCCCTCTGGAAGCACAAATCGCCCACGGATCCCTGGCTCCAGATGCTGAACCACACCGAGGGGTGATTAACAAGCAACTTATGGTGAGGGGCAACGTTCTGGCCATGTAAGTCACAGAAGGGGCTGGCAGTTAAGGGTGGGTGCCAAGTGGCTGGGTCAGTCTCGACCTGGGGATACTACATTGGAGACATGCAGACAACAAGGTTTACTTCTAAGGAGAAGGAAGGGTGCACTGGGCCACTCTGCCTAAGGGGTTCTGTAATAACAAGTCCCCAAAGGTGTTATGCTTTAAATGTGAAGTGTCCCCCAAAAGCTCATGTGTGATATAATGCAAGAATGTTCAGAGGTGAAATGACTGTGTTATGAGACATGTAACTATTTCTGTTAAAGTCATATTTTCATCACTGTAAACAAAAGACCTAACAAGTTTATTTTGACTCATGGTTTCAGAGGTTCAGTCCATACTCTGCTAACTCCATTGCTCTGCACGTGAGGTGAGGCAGAATACCCTGGCAGAGGGACATAGCAGAAGAAAGGCACTCAGGACATGACAGCAGGAAGCAGAGGGAGAAAGAGAAAGTTCTGCTAACCAGAGACAAAATATAAACCCCAAAGCACATCACCAGTGACCCACCTCCTCCAGCCACACCCCACCTGCCTACAGTCACCATCCTGTTAATCTGTACTCCACTGATCTGGCATAACTCTCATATCCAATCATTTAACCTCAGAACATTCTTGCATTGCTCACAGATGAGCTTCTAGGGGACACCACATATCCAAACCATAACACAAAGGTTTGGTGTAATACATACCTGAGGAGCAGAGCTACAAAGACAAGAACTTACTACCTCCAACTCAATTTTCTTTTTCCCTCACTTTTTAGCAAATGGACATCTGAAGATGCTCGCCTCCTCCGGATTTCCATCATCAACTGTCTTGAACAGCTTTCCCTGGTGTTGAGGACCATGCAGCTCTTTGGGCCCCCCATTCCCCGCTAAGCTTGGGAAAATGGATCCAGTTTAACATTATGACCCATTTCTAGGCAGTACATGGTTCCCTAGGGCAACGATTTCCAAAGTACTTGCTACTTAAGTATGGGGATCTAAATAAAAATTTATTGAGATTGGCCCTGGGACACTTAAGAGTCCTCTTTTTTTTGTATGGTGCTGGGGATTGAACCCAGGGCCTTGTACATGCTAGGCAAGCACTCTACCCACTGAGCTATATCCCCAATGCCAAAAGTCCTCTTTAGTTTGGTCTTTTACATGTTTCTTAATGCAGAAAATAAAACTAAGTTAGTCATCTGCATCAGTTTTCTCAGCCTCTGTGCCTCCACATTTTCTTGCCTTTTATCCTTGTGTTGTGGGGGGGGGGTGGGTTCTAGGATTCAGATAGTACTACAAATTAATTGAAGACAATTTCAGAAACAGAAGATGAGCTGGGGCCCGTGGCACATGCCTGTAATCCTAGCAGCTCAGGAGGCTGAGACAGGAGGATCATGAGTTCAAAGCCAGCCTCAGCAAAAGTGAGACGCTAAGCAACTCAGTGAGACCCTGTCTCTAAATTAAATACAATACAGAGATGAGGAACTCTTCTTAGGTTTAGAGTTCTATTCATATATGAAATATATAGCAGTAACATACAGTGCATAATTTTCACAAACGTAACATTCTTTCCTGAGTTGTTTTCACATAACCTTTTCTGATTTCTAAAAATTTTTCCAAAAATACATTATCAAACAAAAACATGAGATGCACTGTAATGTAATTGTTGAACATGTAGACCATTTCCCACTTCTTCCCCTATTTTTTTCTTTTGGTACTGGGGATTGAACTCAGAGGCACTTTACCACAGAGCCACATCCCATAACCCTTTTTATTTTGGGGGAGGGCAAGTACTGGGCATTGAACTCGGGGACAGTCAGCCACTGAGCGCCAACCCCAGCCCTATTTTGTATTTTATTTGGAGACAGGGTCTCACTGAGTTGCTTAGTGCCTCGCTGTTACTGAGGCTGGCTTTAAACTTGTGATCTTCCTGTCTCAGTCTCCCAAGCTGCTGGGATTACAGGCATGCACCACTGTGCCTGGCTATTTTTTATTTTTTCAGATAAGGTCTCAGTAAGTTGCTTATGGCCTAAGTAGCTGAGGCTGGCCTTGAACTTGTGGTCCTCCTGCGTTAGCCTTCAGAGTTGCTGGGATTACAGGCATGCACCACCACACCCAGCCTTCCATTTCCCACCTTTAATAAGTAATGGTTTCTCTGAGATTATGTATATAATTGAATGGATGGTTATTCCCTTCAGATACTTCCAAGAATTAGAATTACTGAGTAAACCATTTACTTTTCAATTAACAGTTTAAGGCTCTTGATTTACGGTTCAAAACTGCTCTCCAGAATATGAACCCACCCATCAGAATGCTGGCTGCTCACATCCTACGTGCCACTGACCCACCACCAAAGAAAACAACACCACCACCTTCCACACTGCACAAACACTCTGCCTTTGTGTTTGCGTGAGAAGAACAGCCGCCCAGAAACATTTGAGTAGGAATTTTGTGGCTTCCCCACCTTGTGAGGAAAAGGGCTGGGACAATTGGCTCAAGGTTTTGGGGGTGGAGTTAGCTCCTGGTGAGGTATGGTGCTAGAGACAGCCCTTTTGCACACGCCATCCGACTCTCCCGGTAGATAATCTCGTCTTCTGAGAATAGAGGCAGTTGTGCCTCTTCTTTTCCACTCTGGCTTCCAGTGATTGATTTCCCTCCCCAACGTGGGTTGCATTTCCCCATGTCTTTGTATCCCAGGTAGTGTTTTCTTTCTCTCTTTGTGGTCCTGGAGATGGAACCAGGTGTGTGCACATGGTAGGCCAGCACCCTGCCACTGAGCCACACCCCCAGCCCTTTGCGCCTTACTGTGGCCGAGTCGTCTTTGGCTAGCTCTGGTTGACTGAGGTACCACTTATGTATGTGCTATAAAATTCACCCATTTCCCACACACTGTCCTGTGCTGACAGTTACCACTGTTAGGTGCAGGGCAGGCTGAGCTAAGTTGTCTGCAGGGCAGGTTGAACAAACGTTAGCTGCAGGGTAGCCCGGGCACTCAAACCCCGCTCTGTCTGGTCCTTTATCACCTGTTTGCGTCAAGTCTGAACATTCAACCCCACTCAAGGCTGAACACTCAACCCCACCCGTCTGGTGCAGTGGAAACCCACATCTGACCCCTGCCCCATGTGCCTGAAGGCAGAAGATGACGCTACTGTACGATCCAATCACTGTACGCCAACAAGGCAGCTTGCAGACCCAAAGACCCCGTTAGATTCTGGCTATAAAAACTCCCTCCTGCCGGGCCTCCCCCCGATCTTGCTCTCTTTCTTCTCTTGCACCTCTCTCTCTCTCTCCTTTTTTCTCTTTTGCACTGCTGCAATAAAGATCTCTTGGTCGCTCCGAGTGTCGTGGTCGCTTTCAACCACCACCACAATGTGGTTGGCACTATGGACGGACTACCTGCGTCACTCTGTGGCTTGTATTCCTAAGTCAGGACCCAATGTTCCTCTGTTCCAAACCCTCCAGTGGGCTTCCCTCTCACACTCTGAGTCAAAGGCAAATCCTCGGGCTGGAGGTGTAGCCCAGTGGTAGAACACTTGCCCAGCATGCACGAGGCCCTGGGCTTGACCCCTAGCACCTGCATCAAAGGAGGGAAAACAGCACAGGTCCCTTACAGTGGCCTGCAAGTCCAATATGATCTGGCCTGTGTCTTCTCTGGCCTCCTCCACTCCCACTCTCCTTCTGGCTCGCTCGCGTGCAGCCACCTGGGCCTCTCCGCCTCCACAAAGCACACCAGACAGACCCACTCCTGCCTGGGGGGCCTTTGCCTGTTTGTAGCTGGCTTCCCCAGCATTCTACCTGGCTCACCAAAATGTCATCCTCAATGAGGCTTTCCTGGCCACCCCATTTAACACTGCATCCTCCCTTCTCCCCACCTGCATCACTCTTAACAGGTGTGGGGGCTAAGACATGAAGGCAGGTGCACCTGGATGGGAGTCACAGCTCCAACAGTAAGGAGCTGCCAGGCCTCAAGGAGTCTGGGTGCGGCTGAATCCACTGGAAGGTTTTAAACACGGTGGGAACTTGCCTTACATCTTAACAGCATCCCTCTGCCTCCCACACTAAGGATGAGCCGAAGGGGGGCAGGGATGGAAGCAGGGAGACTGGCATCTGGGCACCTTCCATCTGGGTGGGGACCGTGGAGGCGAGGAAAAAAGAGCAGACTCTGAAGATATCTTGACGCTGGAACCACGGAAATTAGCCAGCGGACGGGCTGTGGCCTTGGACCCCCTCAAATCCTCAGAAACTCTGTGAAGAGTTGCCCTTTCCTCCCATCACGGGAGTCCAGCTCACCCAGACCCCAACGGGTCTACCCGCCCCGCCCAAAGACAAACCCGCACGCTGACCCCATTTCCCCAACATTTAATTAGGAAAGATCACGACTTGAACAAAGAGACTCATGCAACACCAGAGGAGAGATTTGGGGCTCTGGGACCCGAGATGGGGCCAGATTCCTCAGAGGAGGCAGAAGACACCAAGCAGTAAGGCACTGCCACCTCGGCCCCTCGGGGCGAGCGAGCGCACCAGGGGGTTGTGGGCAGGGGGCAGCTGAGGCTGAGGGGCTCTGGGGCAACACTGAGGAAGTCTGGCAATAGGGCCGGAAGAAGGAGCGTTGTGGAGTCCCCAGGCCCAGCTCAGGCCCAGCTCAGGCCCAGCTCAGGCCCCGGCACAAGCGTTCTCCGGGTGCTCAGGCGGGACAGGGTCCTTTGAGAATGTAGTCTGATTCTACAGGGGGACATTGTGGCCTGGCTTGGCACAGACAGTCTGAAGCAGCTTCAGGTGCACTGGCCCACCCCAAGTCCTGCTGGTACCCTGGCCCTCTTCTTGGGTCAGGTGGGGCAGCCACACCTAAGATGAGGTGCAGAGGCTAGGTCAAGGCTGGCAATGTCACAAAGGAGCCTGGATGGGTGACAGAGCCCAGAACAACTCAAGGAGAGGAAGGTCAGGGAGGTTGGCAACACTCCATGGGGACACATACTTACAGATGGAAATCG